GGAGGATAGCATACGGCCCTATAAGTTGCGATTCGCGCCTCACCATACACCTGTTGGACAACTGCGCTAATCGTTGCGACCAAATCCCATTGTCTAAACGACAGCACCAGTAACCAACCCTTAAGCCACGTAGATAATCATGCTTAGGGAAGATTCGAATAAGCTAAAAGGTTGACGAAGGGGAAACTTACCTAGTCGAAAGACACTCGAACCCCTGAGGGTGCGGAACGGCACGCAATTCACAGGGAAGGATACGCCCCGGGATCTAGCACCGCCGCCCTCGCTCCGCTATCGCCGCTGCCCGCCCACCTCCCCCACTGTCTGACTCTAGAGAGAACATGGATAGAGGTCACCACTGATGAGACACGCTTAACGCGCAATTCAAGGGGCAAAAGGGTGTTCTATTTCTCAGGTTTCAGATTGTTTTCTTGGTTCCTTCTTCAATTTTGTATCACTGACCACCTCTACCTTGATTTCTAATGAGCTCTCTTTTCATCGTAAACTTCGCCTTCAAGGTGAAAGTCGCGGTGAGCCGGTGGGCGTACTTGCCTGCGACCGTCCATTTTCCAAGGTTTGCTAATTCAAAAAATCATCAAAAATTGCAAATGGGATCAGACAGCTTCGCCAATAGCTTTCGCATGAACTTAGAATTTTGAAAATCAGCAAATTCAAAAATGGTAGTTGGTCACGCTTCAGTAAAGCTGGATGGAGGTTCTGTTTGAAGCGTTTCGTCCCGCTTCCTGCCACCTCCTTGGCCTCTTCGCTAAACGTGGTATGTATGCGATGGACCGAGCTGCGAACCGGCATCGAGGTGTACGAAAAAGGCGGACGAGTGGTCGGCGTGTCAAAAGTCGCAGCCAAGCAGGTTAGTTTGATGTCAACAGAAAAATTCATTTCAAAAGTCTCTTTTTTAGGCGGTCACTGATACAACTCTTGTGAGGGCCTTCCTACCTGTACCGCTGCTTCTGGCTCCGCCCTGCATAATGCCGTTTCTTGAGAGGTTAATTTATTCCTGAACTTCAAATTATTTCTTCCGCGAATATGTACATTTTCTTGAATATGCTTATGCTTCGAATCGTTTCGTCATCTTTATCGCGAATACAGCTTGCGTATGGTACCAAAATAGGTTCCACCACCGTTTCCTGGCTGTATTTTCGAAATTTTCCACCTTTCTCTATCATTAATCTTCGCCGTCGTGAGGTCTACTGCTGTTGTGGTCGGGGTAAACCGTCGCAATCTCACTTTACCAAAAAATTTGCGAACCCCTCCCCTTTTTGGGGTCTCCATGCGACCAACCATCCCCACCCCATCACCATCAGTCCCCAAAGTCTTTTCTAATACGACACCTCTCCTCCTTACCCCGACCACCAGAGGGCAGTGATACACCCATCCGCCAATTTTTTTCCTTCTAAACAGCCATCGAGCGGAGGGGAGAGTGAAGGGATTAATTGATACTGTGTGCTTTTCTCTACCTTACTTCTAATGAAACTTTCGCCAACTAGTCAATAAACCCAGCAGACACAAACCCTTTCTTTACTACCCCCGATTACACTTTTCGCAGAGTCAGTTAACCTTGCTTTACCCCGAAAGGCCCTCCCCAAAATCACAAATGTGATCCGTCGTTCAAAATAGGGCAAATAGACAGTTGACCCTGGTTATGACTCTTTCACCAGCACAAAGCAATATTGCTATGAGTTCCGTTGCTTTTTTATGTTCAAGATAATGACGAGAGCAGTAACGGATGGTAGGTTGCGGTAGAACTGGATATGCTTCCAGAAGTTACAGTTATTTGTGATCCTAAAAAAGAGCCGATGTAAAAATTGTGCGTGGAAGTGATAGCAACACATGCGATCTCACAGCTAGCTCGCTAGACAATGGTTGGAATTATTGTATTCCATTCTTCACCAAAAATATTAGCTTACAACACAATTCCATAGAGTGGTGGAGGGGACTAATGGCACTATGGTACTATCAGCATTGGGCTTGACGCCTTCTCTACCCCATAACGCTTAACGTTAATGAGGAGATGAGGGATGCCCGTCAGACCTGTATGCTAGTTCGAAATTGGGGGGAGATTGGAAATTTCTTATCATAGGAGGGATCAGTGAGATAAACGAGGTAAAGGCATATTTCACGACTAGGCTGAGTGATTCATCCTCCGAGGCAGAAACGATAGAGCTATCTAGAAAAAAAGGGTCGCGCCTTATAAAGCATTTTCGGGCTTGGCTCGCGCTGGGGCGCCAGGGTTTGCACACACGGTTTGCCTGCTACCGCTACTGATGGTCACTGATGGTTGCCGTAACCGCTGGTGGTATGCGTCTCCTACATCCTTTATGCTCTTTCTTTTGTTTTCCGGCTAACCATAAGATGTTAGTACTTTCGTCTACATTTCCTGAGCCGTGGGATGTTTTGTTAAATGTTAAACTAAATATATTAGGTTGTCCCATAATTAGTGAATCACTTTACATTTATTGTTATTAAAAATCCAAGAAAAATGGTGAAGGCGTGAAACATGTTTTGCGAAGTAGCATCCACATTATCCTACCTGAGCAATTACTCAGCCCATTTCCATGCTGCCTTCCGTGGCTGATATTTCAATTTTTCTGGAACCTATTTTTGAGCTCCCTTCTTAATCACTTCTGATTAGGATCTTTCAAACGCCCAACAACATAGAGAATCGACCAGCAGATAGGCGAGGGCACGCTCCCTCACTCCACGGTCTGCTTGTAGTTCACTCTATCGAGAGGTTGGCTTTTTTAGTTGAAGATGACCCACACTCCAACTACCCCTCAACTGGCAATCTCACTGCTGTACCCAGCGCCACTGAGGGTGGATCTGGACAAACTTGTCGCCATTTGCTAGAGCATGTCCGACTTGTTAAAATGATGGAATGTAGACATCTACGTAGAGTTGTAACGATTTTTAAAATATTTATTTGTATCTTGTATGCTTGAGCCCGAAACAGCTCCGCACACGATCTGACATCATCATGTTCCTTCTGATCTCCCTTAGTTCCTTACAGTGATCATCCAGCATATTCACCAGGGTTCTGGACTGGGTGAAGTGTACTAGCAAATCTCCAAAAAGCAGTAGCCTAGCATGAACGATTCGGGAGTTCTGACAGCAAAAGCCAAACCTCCTTCTAGTCCGACCCTTCAGAGATATTGGTGGAGCACGAGAGTGACCATGCGCTGGGAACCGCCGCCCAGTAATACTAGAGTCACTGAAGAAGATCAACATCTACAGCGTAATGGCGACGCGTTCAATTTGAAAGTAAAGCAAGACAAAGTCTGCTTTTTTCCTGAGGTCGTTCGACCCCACCTTGCGGAGAATATTCATAAAAAATTGGAGACTCTCAGGCTAGCAGTTCTTTCACTTCCTCTGTGTGGCCCTATCCTCGTGCCAACAAAGACAACTCAGTCTGACCTCTAGCGCTCTTCCCCAGGAAGAAATTTTACGCTAAGTGACATGACCTCAAACTCGACTTCCGATCTTTCTTCGATCAATAGCTCCTGGAATTCTAGAGATAAGACAGCGACTAAATTTCCTTGTATAGGCAATACATTGTAGATGACAGAGGGATGTATGTTTGGATGAGCAAAGACTCCACATAAAAAAGAAAAAAATTTGAATTCAAAAATACCCAAAGTGATTCACTAATTATGGGACAACCTAATATAATTTTTTATAGGTTACAAATGGGTCACCGTTCCCAAACGCACGTTCGTCATCTCTTTGTGAACGCAATCGTCTGTACGCTTTCCTTCGCTGCCAGTTTGCCGGTCGCTCTGGCGCTGTTCCCACAGGAGAGCACTGTGAGTTTTAATAACAACTTTTTTCCGGAGAATTTTGTGACAGTACAAAGCCACTCCTAATTACGAGAAAAAAATGTTTTTTCTGGAGGAGTAGGTGATGACTATCAAATTGTACAGTGTTCGTATCGCTGTAGGAGGAATGCAGACACTTTTCGATATAAGTAGCGAGAAAAAGTTTTATGGTGACCGGAGCGAATAGTTGACGAAGATTCCTCGAAAGGCGGCCGCAGTTTTTTAGAGAGAGGTCATTTAGCTGCTGTGAGAGGGAGAGGGTCATATTTGGGATATTTGGAGGGACTAGATGAGCGCTGTGATGGATGAGTGGATAAATGAAATGGCGGTGTAAAATGTAGAGCCTGCCACTCCAACAGCAATACATATGCCCCCTGCATTCGCCAGCGAGGACTTTTTGAGGAATTCAGAGGCGGAGTTGGTAGTGCGATAGGTAGTAGCAGGAGCAACGACAATGTACTGACGCCAACACCAAGGTCGTGTTGATCATGCCGGGGAGGGGGTTGGGTGACGGGACCTTACCGCGACCATTTTCTCAATTCGATGTTCACTCTGATGATGGCTTCTCAAACATTTGTATTGTAATAATAGAAATATCGCCTTGACCTTTAGCCATCTCCTAGCGCCGAACCCGAAGGGGAGTTCGTAATGAAACTCTAATGTGCAATATTAATAGGAGGTTGCCTGTATGTAGGCTTTGTAAGAATGTCGGCATGGGACTGCTGGCGATTTTTCTTCGGCCTGTTTCTCAATCTCCGATCCCTTGTCAAATGTCTTTTTTCAGATATCCATTGAAAGACTGGAGCCGGAAATCCGATCCAAAACCACTGCCACGGAATTGTTTTACAACAAAGGATTATGAGAACAATTTTAGGATCGTTCTTTGACCGTACCCTTCCTCGAAATCTCTGTTATGTTGAAATCCATGCGTTACTGGTAGATGCGCCTTGATTATCAATATTGTAACGAATAAAACTATGAATCTGCCATTTCCACCTACTGAATCTTTACTCATAATTGTTAATTGTTGTGTTCAGCAAAGTTTTTGACCAACAATTGAATCTTTGTTTCCCTTTAGCGTTAGTCCCAGCGCGATTTCGCTGGTCGCTACGTTGTTGTCATGCGTCAACTACCGGCAGGGTGAAAATCGTGTCGAGTACGTGGTCGCAGAGGTACGACCCCCCCCCCGAAATCGAGATCCTGGCACGACCCCCTCTAACAGAGCAAATTAATTCAATTAAAATAAATCCTGCAAAACAAAAATCAAAAAAAAATCAAAACAATCAAAAAAATTCTGCAAAATAATGCTAAGGACGCTTCATCTTGTCATCTATGCACGTCTCCCATCGCTGCATACTTTTGTGTACATACTGAAATATCGACTCGAGGAAAGAGGCATTAACTTTGTGTGACCTCAAGGCGAGGTTCGTTCAGAAACGCACAGAAATCCTGAAGACACGGGGTTGCGATTCAATCTTGATTCTTGCTTGAGTATATCAAAACAGCCGAGTGTATCAAAGGCCGATTCAACGGCAGCTGCGGCGCGATTGTCACTGGGTCAGATTTGCCGAAATTTCAAAAAAAAACGTCCGAATCTACACCCTCGATGAAAAGGTTGCATTCCTCCATTTCACAACCTTTGAAGCAGCTTGAGGTAGAGTTAGATAGAGCTGGATTTCGCGTTTCCAACAAGTATTGAAATTGCTCTGGAAGCCTTCCATGCAGAAAGATAGGGTCTCTCAAATTTCGTCGAGTAAATGTCGAGGAGGCTGAAATTTTCACGCGAGTTTTTGCCACTTCAAGAGCAATATATCTCTTATATTGTAAGATCCTGAAAAAGGAAGATAGTTTTGGGTCCTTAACGAACGTCCAAAATCAATATAAATATTTGAAGTATAACTATTTCAGACATGAGGAAGAGAAGTATATAGAATGTAAGGAACCTATGAGTGACATTA